GATTGGTGTCCCATATAAAGGAAGTTTAATACCAAGGATAAGATTTACTTCTGAATCTGAGAAGGTTGTTCATAGATTCATGTTTAATGAAGGCTGCCACCTTGGAAAATATCCTAGGAAAAGTATTTTCCAGTGAGAACTCGTGCCCAAAGTGAGTCTGGGTTGGTACAAAAATGTCCACAAAGTTTCAAAATAAGTAAAACATTCCTACGTTCAACATCCACCAAGCCAAGCCCGCCCTTCTTGGGTTTTAAGTAACTGGCCTAGGATTCCACGTAGTACCCTTTGCCTCTTTTAGATTTTTCCCACCAGAAATTGCAAAAGATGGCATAATCTCATCATACACCGTCTTTGGGGTTAGTTTTGTCTGCAAGTGATACATAAACATTTCCACTGTCAACATCTTCGCATGAATTTAACATATAAATATGGAAAATATTTTATATAATACTCATAGACTACATGAATCCTATTAGGCCATTCCATTCTGTTCATATAATTATAATCCGCATCCATCATTAAATTATACATAAACACTCTAATCATATTATAAAATCTGCTATAGGTTATGCCTTTTGGGCTAAATTAAAAGTACAAGTACTAGTTTTGGCCTACATTAAATGCAGGACTAATGCGATTCTGGGTCAGTTGCCTTATCCCAATTATACGGAGTTGGCTACATGAATCCCATTTGGCCATTCCATTCTGCTTTGCTCGGTACTATATCCATCATTAAATTATACATAAACACACTGATAATCATATTATAAAATCTGCATTAGATTATGGCCCTGTTTGATGCGTTTTTCTGTGTGATCTTTCGGTTGTTTATAAGTCAGGCAGATCATGCTGTGGTCCTTTTCTGTTTGATTTATAACAGATCTAGCCGTTAAAAGTTGGTGTGTCAAAAAGACGTGAAAAGCTCAATTTTTGGCTGATTTTGAAAAGCTCCAAATGGAGCTTTTTACATCTTTCTCGCTTTATTCTTCGGCAAAAAAGCATAGAAAGATGTGTGGTAGCTAAACTAGCTTCGGATTGCTCATATCTTCATACAAAAGTTCAATGCATCATTTGACTATCAAAACTATCAAAAGATCTTCCAAAAAATACTTGTCAAACGGCCCCTATGTCTTCTGGGCTAAATTAAAGTTCTAAGTACTAGTTCTGGTCCACTTAAATGCAGTCGTTGGTCAGATCAGAGTTGGACTCAGAAATTTCTAGATAAATAATCTCCAATCATCCAATGGGAATGCAACGAAAGTAGCAGTGCTTATAAGACCGTGTTCTCACTATTGGTATAATATTTTACAGCATTAGAAATATTTTCGTACTTGTATGCTTTTTTTGATGGAGAGATATTTCCAATACAACACTGTAAGCAGTGTGAGCACAAACTTGTGAAGACCAAATCCGTTTTCCAATGAAAAAATGTTTAGCAAGGAACAATAAAGAAAAACTTTGATAGGCCAGAAATAAGTATACCCAGTTGGTTTTACAAAATTCATGTGGAAAGAGATGAGGCTGAGTGAAAAACCATTAATGATAAAAACACAAGAGCTTTAAAAAGCCACAATTGGACTACCTTACGCTGCGTTTGGTTTGATAGAAAATAAGAGAGAATCAGAAAGTGGAAAGTTCATTAGACTTGGAGGAAAGTTTCACAATCATTATAGAGGAAGTTTTTATCACTTATTGTTTCCTTCTTGTTTTCTATCAGACCAAAGACAGCCCTAGGGGAAAATAGGTTCACCATAAAAAGTCTACAATCACTAATGAGTAATGACATCCAAAAGATGGCTTGGGAAACAGCCAGAGTCCGGAGTTCCAAAGTCAATGTAAGCCATGAATACTCAAGAGAAAATCAAGCAAAGTATTTAATTGCCAACCTAAGGGTAACATCCAAGCCAGTGAAGAAACTTCTCAAGACCTACATTGTAATTATTGTGGAAGACTAGTGGGAGCGACCTAAGCCTCGTTTTGTGTAGCTTCTAGCCTTATTGTTATACCACAAAAGAAGCAAAAAACTAAATCTAGTTTGCTACTGCTAGTTCTGTTGAGGGAAGAAGACCTACATTGTTGGAATGGGTATATCGAGAGGATCTTCTAATTTTACCATTGTATTCTAAATTGTCTCTATTCCCCTAGTTAATATGTATGTGTTCAAGGGGATTTTTATGGTTACTAGTGTTAACAATGTCTTTTTCTTAAGAAATTTTACTGTTATTGAAATGGGGAGAGTAGGTGAAAACCCAGAAATCTCGTTTAAACAGGTGGGTGGAACCGTGGAAGAACAGTTCATACTTTTTTATTAAAATTTAGAAATAGAGTGCACACTGCAAGACGAACTAACACTGAGACACTTTGTTTACTTTGCTTACATATTTGAAACTTTAGACTCTGTCAAGCTTCAAAGTATCGATCGTGCCGGTGACTTCCTGATGTGTCTCTACAGGGGTTGTATCGGCTCAGCCACTGGTTCAGAGGATAACCGGACCTTAATCGGCCTCTCTAAACTGACTTCGAAAAAAATAAGTAAAATATATATAAAAAAAAAAGCACCGACAGGCTGATACACAGGGTGTATTGGATCCGTGTCGATATTTAAAACCTTAAACTCTGCAACAATTTAAACGCATAGCAATGTAAAACAAATTCATGGCTCAAACTCACCAGCTTTACAAGATCATTGTTCAGAGTGAAATGGCAGAACAGGATTCATGTAGCAGATTCCATATGGTTAGAACAAATAAAAACTAGATTTAAGTGCTTCAACAGTTACCACTTGTACGAAATAGGTGAAGCCACCCTGTTTTTTAGTATATAACTAAAAATCGATTGGGATTCTCCTCTCAATGGCATTACCCCCCCTCAAAAGAAAACAAAAGCTCCGATCCATACCCACGTTGACCCAGGTTGGGGTGGACTCTATGAATCTTGGAATGGGCCATTGGGTCAGGTTGGTTGGAAATTGTAAAATTTTCAATGGGCCTAAACCTTAATCCAGGACTGATGTCATAAACCCAACTTGCAACCTAAATTGTTTTCTAGGCCCATGAAGCAGAGAGAGAGAGAGGGGAGGGTCCCAAAGACTTGGCACGTGGTCAAAAGAGTTGCTTTTTATCGGAAAGTTTTTATATTTTTTATCATTTTAAATGGGTTATAAAACTCATGTGGACTGAAAGATTAAACAAACTTGGTGAATGGTTTGGATGATTATATATAAGATATGTATATGTTATGACTAATAAATCTATCATTTTACATCTATAAATTTAATTTTTAGGTACAAGTCAAAGTGTGATTAATTTATTCATTTTATTTTTATTTTTATTTTTATTTTTATTTTAAAGATGGTAAAACAAACTTGTATTGGATATAAAAATTCCCTACGACTCAAATCCAATTTGAGACCCCTAGATCAATCAGAATTTATAATAATTGAATTGGACTTCCAAACCCTAAAAACAATAAATTATTCATTTCGGTCGCTTAATCTTTTTCTTTTGCTTCTGAAAGGTGAATAGGCTACGGTATGGGGGATTTAGAAATTCTTTTCCTTGTGTCACTTATAATTGAACCCTATACCACAAATTTGGAGCGTTCCATTAGTAAATAGAGTTTCAACGTCTATCAAAACAATTAAATAATTTTTTTTGTCAAAATCTAAGCTAACTTGTACACTTCTAATACTACTTATGATGGATTGTTATTTTTCCTACGTTTGTTTATCTGAAAAGTATCTTAAAAGATAAATAAAGAATCTGATAAATAAGACGATAAAAATAAATTAAGAACCTCATAAAGTTTCCAAAATAAACTTTGAAATATTGCTAAGTACATTCTATAAGGAAAGGCAAACTAATAAAACAGTATAACACAAAATTATACAATTTTGGAAAATTAGGCTCCTTTCCGATAAACTTTTGCTTTTGGATTTTGGGCTGTAAAAACAAAAATGAACCAAAAAGTCTTTTAGAAAGAATTGCTTCTAAAAATGATATTAAGCCCTAAAGCATAAAATGTAAAATTGAGGCTTTGCGCTGTTAGACTTCAAAAGTGGAATCTTCATGCTTATCCAAACTCAATCTAAGTTTTTGTCTAAGTCAAATGGTCATTTTTATTAATATGAAATAACGGTAAATATGGGTGCAGCTTGAGTTCGGACTGTCTCTGAACCTGTAAGTTTATATGGATTGGACTTGAATTTTCAGTTCTTAGAATGGACCCAACCCAAAAGTTTGGGCATTTTAATATTTTTGGGTTGGGCCCAGGTCAGGGAGTAGCCCATCCCCAACCTAGATGCAAGTAGGATTGAATCCCAACTCTTGGCTACAACTAGCAGGAGACTTTGCCAATCAACTTGGCACTTTACATCGTATCTCAAATTTGAATTTAGCCGGATTTCGTGTGTATATAAATATTTGGACCCACATGGCATTACAGTTTTTCAGTATTTACATGTTATAATTCATAGGGAGATGCATACATTTATATTAAGGTTGGGCCTAGGTTGAGCTTAAAACCCGACCCCGCCCGGCCTACTTACAAGTCTCGATCTATTCCAAATTTTGGTTTGTGCAGAGACTCCCGACTCCCATGCTAGCCATAATCTCTTTCCATAATTGATCATTGCTTGTGGACTTTTCTATAATCTTTCGGTGGCTTTCTGCAACTTAAAACGACACCCTATCCCACTTAATTCAATTGCATAATCTCGCTGACGCTGACATTCATCCTTCCAACAAATGTCTTTCTTGCACGCTCAGTCAAGATCCAATGCCCCAATCCTTCAATAACCACAATCTCGCTTAAGTCTATACACCCAGAGACCACCAAACTCTGATGTATGTATCTGTGTTTGATTCTCATGTTTAATGAAATCTTAGTGTTATTTACCAAAAACACTCCTCTCTCTCTCCCCACTATTGCACGAAAAAGGGTCAACATTCGACATAGAGAAATTAAGTTGCTCACAAATCACAATGGTCATCCATCCACAATTCTGGGAAGCAAAAGAGGCTTATTAGACCAATTCATTGATTCGTTCCAACAACGATTATACAAATATTCCAAGAGAAAAAAGGAGACAACTGAAGTGGAAGGGGAACTCTCTCACGATGACTCGAAAAAGAAATTTATGTTAAAAACAAAGAGCAATATACAAGAACATCTATGCTGCTTGTTAACGGGACAGAACTAGCCACCGTGCAATCAACTGTAAATTGACTGCTCACCTTCATCCTCTCTTCTGCTGGGCTCGTCAATCCCACAACTCCCTCTACTCCAAGTTATACACGTAATATGGATTTATAACTCGTTGGGTTGCATCACCGAAGAGCATTGACGAAAGTCGTCAAAGAATCAACATCCCGCGTCTCAGATGGGTACTTGATCGGCCTAGATGAGTGCTTGGGGAAGAAGAGTATTGTGGGGAAGCTCCCCAACTCTAGCTCTTGCCTTGCAAATTCCTTCTGCTCCCCATCTGCCCTGAACTTTCCTACTTTAACTCCTTTCCCTGCCAGTTTCTCCGCCAATTCTACATATGACCCCTCCATCCCCTGTCCAAATTGAAGAAGATATGCATTTTTGTTATAAGACTCGCACAATTGGTTGTTAATCACAGAATTTTTTTTTCTTTTTTTTTTTGCAAGAAATCCAGGTTTTCTTGATTAAATTTACCTGACAGAAGCGGCACCAAGGCGCATAGAGCACAACAAGCCAAGGCTCTTTTCGCTCCTCCAACCTAGCCAGATTCTCAATCCCAGTCCTGCTAAGATTCACCACGTTCTGGGTGTTGAAGATGTCTGCAACGGTGCTACCGGCGTGAGCAGCGGCAGCTTCATTACCATTACCATTAGTGAGAGCGGCTTCGTCTTTGATGTTGCCCTTGTGAAGGCCGCACTCCTTGGCCTTGGCGTCCTCCCACCACCATCTCCCTTCCCTCTCGTGTTGCCCCGGCAACACAGGCCTCGTGCAGGGCTCACACCCAATTGAGATGTATCCCTGAGAGTGCAGTGAATTAACGGGGACGTTCATGGTCCGGAGGAAATTCCATATATCCCGGCCATCCACATTGGCTACTGGGTTCCACTTGATCAGGCTGCCCACCCCACCATCCATCCCCTCGAAAGATGGGTCTACCTGAACGACGGGGATCTCAGCTCGAGTTCCGGGCGATTGATCCTTGCGCTGGCCGGTGATCCAAGCGCGGAGACCCTTGAGGGCTCTCCTGAGGGGCCTCACCTTCCTCACTCGGCAGCACTCCTGGTGTCCATCCTCGTAGAAGGAGAAAAGTCCCTTGCTCCTAACAAGCCCCTGAACTTCCACTGCGTCTGGGAACATGTACTCGATGCGGATGTCGTAATGCTTCTCCACGGTGTCGAAGAACCGGTAGGTCTCGGCGTCGAGCCTACCAGTGTCCAGGCTGAACACCCTGAACGGTCGTCCAGTCAACCGAGCATATTCGATCAAGGCTACATCCTCAGCTCCACTGCACAAACCAAGCATAACCATTTACATGTTTATTAGTAATTTTATTGGGAATCTATGAATCTGCGTGAAGATCCACCTCATCGTCCAGAATCCAGAATCATTACCTGAAAGCAATAGCGATGTCATTTCCGAATTTCTCAAGGGCTTTGTCCATAATTTCAAGAGGAGATGCATTCTCAAGTTCTTTGGCCAATTTCTCGTAGTCTTCCTTCTCAATACTCTCTTCAACATTCTCTGAAACCTCTGCAAATATCACGCAAAAAAAAAAAAAGAAAAAGAAAAAACAGTCAATACGTGTTTACCACAAACAAAAACGTACACGCCATATATATTTGTCCAAAGAAGAAAATCATACCGGGAGCAATGATTGTTGCTGCGTGAGGGACGGTGGAATTGCTCTGTTTTGGTTCGGCGTAGACGGGCTTTACCAAGCATCGTCTCCGGGAAGAATTCACCGCCCCTGACGGAACCAGATGTCGCTCTAGCGGTCGAAAAGAACCGATCTGTGGAGCTGTGGATAGAATATAGAACAAATTAGACTCAAACTCTACATAAAATAAAAAGAACAGTAATAAACTGTAAAAAGAAAACGAAAATTGTAAGCCGCAATAAGCTGAAGCAAAGTAAACAGTGTACAATAAAGAATATGTAAAAACAAAAAAAGGAGGAGCAACAAAACACCATGGATGGGGGGAACTCAAAACATTTTCGGAAAATAAAACACCCTCATCCGATCCTGCTACAAGTGAAAGAAAATTATCCGTCCTTTCTAACAAAACCAAGATTTATCATTTTTGCCTTCCGACACTGGTCTTACATGGATTCAAACTCACGACAGAGGTTATTGGTTATAAACCAGGAAAAGAAACTCAAACGGAAAACAAGTTTGACCCACAAATAAAAACACGAAAAGGAACATCAACAAACCCACCGAGAAAAACAAAATTTAATGCCAACAAAACCAATCAAAGCTTCGGAGGAGCCCATGACACAAAACATGAAATTAATCGAGAATAAGTTAAGGAGAGCAAAAGAGCTCAAAAAATAACTGAATGTGCCGCAGGAGAAATGGGAGAAATTTTCAAGAAAAATACAAGAAATCAAAGGACGAAGTACCTTTTATGAGCTCATGGGAAGCGAGAGACCGCGAAGAAATGGAACCAGAAATGGCAGTAGAAGAAGCAGCAGCCAACGCCATTAGAGAATTATAAAGAAGAAACTCTCTGTTTCGCTTTCTCTGTATCTCTCTATTGTTGTGTTGTTATACTCGGTCCGGGAGATTAGCGGTGTTAAATAATTGATTGAGGAAATTACGAATTTCTAGGTTCATTGAACCTGGACGCATTTTTACGTTTGAATGTGATTGTTGTTTGTTGACATGTGTCATACTACCATTGGTTCATATAAATTGTGCTGTCGTTGTACGCTTCCGTCACTTGGCAATTGGCGGGCCAGAAGAAAAATAAATATTATTAGGGTTTGAAGCTGAGAGTCTGAGAGACTTCCTGGATGGAACGCCAGCCTCCAAACAAAAATAAACAAATTAATAATGTAAATTATTTATACCTCCTTGCGATCTTGTTAAAATTAATAATTATCTGGTACTCGGGTTCACGGTTTACCAATTAATATACTCAACGTTAGCAGTTTCGGGTTTTACCTATTCCACTGTTCTCGGACTCGGACCTGGATGTTGTATCAATGACTCAGCGAGCCTTCTCGGTTCCGGTTATTTGACGGTTTTCATGAGCTCAATAGTTTAGTCAGCAGAAATTTGTTACCTAATTAATTTTTCGGTTTCAATCTGGTCTAAGACCCGACTTGTAAGGGGTACAAGTAAGGTACCTTTTTTGGGCCTGGGCCCTTGCATTGGCCCATTTACATTTTAACAAATCCTCAAGTTAAGCCGCCCCAAGTTGCACCATTAAAAATATAAAACTCTAAAAAAACGTTTATGTAATATTTAAAATTTCATAAAGGTACAACTTTACCTGAAAAAAGAAAAAGTTGGGTTGGATTAGGTAGGATTAAAGTTTGGGTTAATCCAACTTGATATTGGATCGGGTTTAGGACCGAAACTTTGGACAACCTTCACCCAAACTTGACACATCTTTGTATTTGTATGTATAAATGTGTATGGATGTATATATATGCATCATGGCTCTTAAGTTTCAAAAGAATTTATTTCTTAGGGGCATTCTTTTTTCGGATTTAAAAAGAGGGAAAGTTGGTCAATAAGATTCTGGTTCTCATTGACCAAAAATTTCATGTTCTTTTTTCAAATTCATATGGGGATTAGGGAAATTTTATTTTCCTGGGTATACCCATCTCCTAGATAGGTAAATAACTTTCCCACCTAGGGGAAAGTTGCCAACACTTGAATGGGACAAAAATGTTTTTTTTAATAATGGGTTTTTTATGATTAAAATGGTCATTGCCTTATTTACATGAGAAATAAAAGAACATGGGTAAATACGCTTACACAGGTAAGTGTTTCTCAGAAAAAACTTACCCAAATAACTGTATTTACCCGGATAAGTAACTTACTTTAAAGCGAACGGGGCCTAAGTATAATATATGTATGTATTTTTGATAAAGCACCATATCTTTGTCCTTGTACATGTAACAATGCTACTGTAAATCATCCTTAGCGTCTTTTTGGGAGGGTTTCACATAGTGGTTTCTAGCATTGCAAGGTATGTTCAAGGATCAAGGATGCAGACAAAAATCAATACATGCATAGATATATTAGAAAATTTAAATAAATCCTAAAGTTTTACACTAATAACAATAAATAATAATCAACTTTAACATTTATTGACAATCATCCCCTTAGAGAAGAAAGGTTGTTTAGCCTCAGTTTGGCAAATATAAATATGTACAATGCAAATACATACAAAATATATGATTTTACACTTTACAAATTTGTATTTATACTCTTTCCAAATTGAGTCATAAGAATCAAACTACTATCATTTAACAAGCAATTGAAGTGTAATTATAACAAACTAATAATTAGGGTTTAAATACTCTTACCTCCCATTTGTTGTTTATAATAGGTTATTTTCGGGCTCAATCAACACTGAAACCCTCCAAAACAGCCCCCCTTTTCTGAACAATATCCCACATGGACCCTTAATCTGCTGATATTAGGTCTGAGAAATAAGAACATTCTGATAAGAAGAAGTTAATAAATTAGGCCAACCTGAACCCAAACCAAAGTTATTGGCCGGCTTAGGATTATGGTTGGGTGTACAACAATTGACCTCCAACCTAACTTAATTCGGCCCAACTTCCACCCCTACTTCCCTGTACATTTGGATAAAAGAATACTCTTACTCTATATTAATTGATAAGCTGAACTTTTTCACCATAGTTTTAAGGTGTAAAATGAAAAGTTAAAAATGATTTCAGAAAATAAAATAATTTGAGATGGTATGGTTATATTTTAGGGTGTCAATGGACCGATTTTGGATTGGACCTCATCCAATATAAAATCAATTTGGATGGATTGGACAGACCAACAAGATATATTGGATTGGAGCAATTCGATACAAAATATTTATTAGATTGGATTGGACTAATTCGGTCCAAAATATTTATTAGATTGAATTGGATTAAACCAATATTGATCAATTAATATAAGATAAGAATATAGGTGTCAATGGACCTGGTTTAAATTGAAACCAATCTAAATCAAAACAAATTTGAATAGATTGAACGGTCCAGGCACTGAATTGGGCCAGTCCAAAATATTCATTGGATTGGATTGGTCCTGGTCCATTTATAATGAATTCACATTGGAGTGGATCGGATTGGACCAAATCCAGTCCAATTGACACCCCTATTTATATTTGGCATTTATAAACTAGGACACTCCTGTTAATTTCTATGTATTTTGAGGGCAGAAACTGATACTTATTCGTTGTTATGGCGATTTTGTTAAAATACCCATTTCCATTCAACTCGTTAGATAAAAAAAATAAAAATGAAAAAGAAATAAAGAATTCCAGATTATCTCCTAAAGCTAATTTGTTATTGGTCATAATGGATATTATATTATTATTAAACCTATTTGAAGTAAATTTGACTAGGTCAACATTTTGTTAAGAACCACGCTGCTGGTTACTGTTATCAATGGTCCAACCATATGGTCTGGTCTGAGTCTGACAACATTAGTAGGTGCTCTGTTGGTGAGGTCACTGAATTTGTGGGCCCTCAAAGATGCCAAAGGCCCAAAGCATTCACTATCATGCATGATAGTTTTGGTCCAACTTGCCGAGCTAATAATAAGCCAAAAAAGGTCCAAGTCCAACTTTCTCTCTGCTTAAACCTCTTTATTTTTTTTTTTCCTTCAAATTGTCATTTTCCATGAAAAATTGATATCTAAAATTTGACCGTAAGCCTCTTCGATGTCTATGAGAGCCAAGAAGGAATATATTTGATAATACACAGTAGGTCTTACGCTCAGTCACGACTCTCAAGTATTAGCTCAGCTATCTACCGGCAAAATTGACCTGAGCCCCGGCCGATGGCGTGCTGAGGTTCAGATAGCCCAAAATTGCTGGAATTCTAAATAATTCTTTCTTTAGGCAGCGTTTGTTTGCACCAGAGGAATTTTACATTTCAGTCCAATTTTATAACTGTTGGGATGAAACGTAAAGGTCGAATTTTACATCAATAATTGAAAAAGGAAAAAGAAATTCTCTTATAAAAACGATGTAAATATATATATGGATGGATAATCGCCACTTTTTAAACCAATGAGTGCAAAATTGCAACAGTACAGAATTAGAATTAGAGCACATTTAAATGCAGCCAATATTTTTCATTAAGTAATAGAAATGAAGGATATAGGGGTATACAAGTGGGGGCGTTTAGGTGATGCATATTCATGGTCTGCAAGGGTTGTTCCAGGAAAATGGAAGAAAACAGGGCTAAAAAGTATCTTTGAACAAATGAAAGATGACGACGTAGAAAGAGGAAAACTAGCACCAAGAACCGCAGCCGCTATGACCTTGTAAAGGTAAAAGCGTAAGACAACAAAAGAAAAAAGATTATTGATTTAGGGGTGTTAACACTTAACACTACTTCTCACTTCTCATCCTGTTTAGCTTTTGTCCTTGTTGGGGGGTTCTGATTAATACCGATAAGGATGCATCTATTGATATGATACAACTTTGTGTCTCTGGCCCACTAAGTACCCATAAAAGAGAATTACTTTGGGCCTTGGGCCCCGGAAAGATACCAAAAGCGTTGCTATAATCTATAAAATGTGACCCAGTCTTATGCCTTCATTCAAGGGTGGGTCCTTGGCGCAACGATTGATCGGAGTTTAAATCCAGACCTCACATTGGCGAGAACCGTATGCACTGGGTTGCCTTAATAACATACTTGTCATACACTGTATAAAATAGTCAAAAATTTATGGTGGTGTATGTTTGATTCCGTTTTTTTAGAAAACATATTGTTCCAAATCATACCTTCAAAATCGAAAAGGCATGATTTGAGATAATGTCAAATTTGGCATTTTTTGTTTTCGGAACTGTTGTTATCAAGGGTACAATGGCGTGGCACTAATGTGGCATCATCTGAAGCGTTAGATAATATAGATCAATGCTGAAAACGGTTAGGATGTCAACGATATTTGAAAATCCAATTTCAAATTCGATATTCAACATAATCAAATTGAATTTGGATATCCTATTCATACCGAATAGTAGTTAATCGGATTCAAATTTGGACATGACTTGATTCAATTTGATAAATACCCAAATTTAACTGATTATTTAATTCTTATATATAATATATAAAATATTTTATATAATTTATATATATAATAATTAAGTTATATAAATAATTTATATATTTATATACTTTACATTAATAAATTATTTATTTTATATATTTATTAACTATCTAAAATAAGTAATTAATCAAACTTTAATTGAATCGAATATTCGAATATTTAATTGGATTCGAATTCGGATATTACTTAATCCAATTTAAATTCAATCCCCTAAAAACAATTATACAACACTGCTGCAAAATAAAACCAGTGTCGTTTCCCCAAAAAACATTCTATATGGCAGCATCGATGCCAAACATAAAAAAGGAACTGTTTTTTTTTTCTTTTTTGAGAAACAATGCAATAAACACTTATCCAGACAGTACCGTTTTCTCATAAAATGGCTGTGAAGCAACTGCATCGATGCCAAACACTTAGTATATTTACCCATGTTAGCCCAAGTAAACAAAATAGCCAAAAC